ATTAATCTGAATTTGAGAAATTTAAATATATGTGAGCCCCATTTCATATACATTGAATAAGAAATATATTTATCAAAAAAAATCATTATTCTTATTAACAATAGATTTTGTGAAACAGATTAGTGAGTTTACAAAGATCGAAAATAACATTTATATCATGTATCTATACGATCTTCTCGATGTGTGTGTTTGGGTGGGGAAATGATAAAGATAGAGAGTAAAAGAATATCATAAAGGTTCTTCAAATTTTCTAATGAACGTCTTTTTATAAATCATAAAATCTGAATATTTATTTCATATAAAACGGTGCCATGGTAAAAGAACTATCTTACGGCATGTTAATATGTTTTGACGCTTCATTCAAAGCTAATTAGAGAAGGTGAAATATGTCACGTAACTCAAATTATTGTAAATTGTTATGAGTATTTATAACTATATAACAATCAAATTTATACGAGCAGATATTCAAAACTCTTAGTAATAAACCGAAGGATAGTCTCTCTCATTCTCCTCAACTTGCTATAAACTTTTCTTCGTATTTACGTGATTCAACTTTTCTTTTTTACTAAATTTAATTTTATCGAGTTAAGGATAGAAGATGGAATAAATAAATAACACGAAAGTGGTGTGCATGCGCCAAAGGATGAATGCAGTTTGGTTCAAACACTTTTTCTTTCCATTTATAGTACTGTTTGGGACAAGTGGGGTCAATTTGGTTGGGTTGGCACTAAGATAGAAAATGGATAACGCCGAATCTTTTAAAAATATTTTGATATCACATAACATTAATATTAAAAATTTAAAAAACTATAGTATAAATATTTATATTTATACACCTTTTTTCCTTATCTTGTTACACCTATTCATTCAATCGAAAAAATTACATTTTTTTTTGTAAGAGCTGTATGGTGGATTTTGTTTATTTAGATTATGAATGTGAAAATGAGATTAGTTTCTTTGGACCAACAAAACAACCATGGGATCATGGATGAGGATATTAATCATGATTCTGATTCTTCTGAAATATTGAGTAATTTCTCTTCATCTGATTCGGAGTTGTTTGACGAAGAAGGAGGAGGAGAAGGGGATTCTTCGGATCCAACTTCTCCGAATTCTTCTTGTAGTGATTCAATAAGTCATGATGAACACACAAAAGGAGCTTTGCAAAATATGTCCACTCTTCTACAAGAACTTCCCTTCAAGTAACAACTACTTTTCCTCTGTTTTCTTTATGTTTTTTTTTTAATGTTATGTGTTTATATTAAAGTTGGATTAAATTTGAATTGACGAAAAGTTTCTAATTTCATATGTGACATAGAAGCTTTAGTTGTTGTTCGAATCTCAAGAAATAAGAAAAATATAATTTAGGGAGATAATAATTATTAGTTGAGTAATGATTTGAGAAATTAACTTTTGAAAATGGTTTAGGTAGCTTATTTGGACAGAAGACCCTTTACGTGTGATTTGAAAGAGACATTTATCAAGTGACGAAATCAGAATTAAGAGTTTTTAGAGAATTTTAAATTTTAGAATAGAAGAATAATGGTGGTTGTGAATCTACAATACCAGTGTGATTAACATTTTCATGGCTTCTTTTTTACTGCAGTTAATTAATTTTGTTGGGGATTTATTAGTTAATATATATAAAAAAGTTTTAATAGAAATATATGATCTACGAAAAAGTTAGTGGATTTGTCTAGATTTCCAAACTCTACCTAGCTTTGTCCGAATGAAATCGCTCATGACTTGAAGAGATTTTAATTCTGATTAAAACTGAGTAAATATTCGTCATTTATCGACTATAAGGTCACTTAAGAGATTGTAAGTGTGAAATATTTGATGGGTCGCGCGCCCGGCACACATGTTTTGACCTCGTGTGTCCATAACTCAAAATAGGTGACCTAACGGCCGCCGCCCGACTAAACATACCAACACTAAGGGAGTTGGTAATTTAAAAATACTTGAAATAAGGCTAGAAGTTTGATACAACTACTTTGAAAGATCAACAAGGTAATTTCTTTTTGGTGATTATATACAAGTTTAAAATTTGTTTGGCTTATACTTGAATCGAAAGTAGGTCTAAACAGGCCTTTGATATCAATTGTTACAAGGCGTTTAAAGAATACTTACTATATTATTTTGCTTCCATATTCGAGCATTGTTGAATAAGATTTATTCGATATATGTATTGTACTTAAAAATAGTTAGATTACGCGCAAGTAAGTTCAAACCATAAAAATCACTTGTCAATTGTATTAAAAATAAGTAATTGCTCGTTTGGATCGAATTACTAAAGTTGATAATAAGCAAAAGTTAGAGAGATGTCTTTTGATTTGGTTTTAACTTAAAAACACTCGATTTTAAGTAATTATTAGGATAGGATTCATCTCAATTCTTGTTTCTTTTCATATTAATTTGTTTATACTACTTCATAAATGTCCAGCATTAGACGTAAGATAGGTATTGAAGAGTTCCACATCAGATTAAACTATGGTGACTCTTTATACGTTCTCAGAAATACTTTCACACCCTAATCTAGCTTTTGAGATTAAATAAGATTTGAGATCCATATCTTTTTATTTGTTTTTATCTAAACACCCTCTAAATCTTTCTTCAACAATTTTTCATATTATTTCATTATGATGCTAATTAATTGTCCTTTTTTTTGGGGGGTTAATAGGAGAGGTTTGTCAAAACATTACAATGGGAAATCACAATCATTCACCTCTCTATCAAATGTGAGGAGCTTAGAGGACATGGCTAAGCCAGAAAATCCATACAACAAGAAGCTAAAATCATGCAAGAGTTATGGAGTTTTCTTAGAAGGTTTCAAATCAAATAACTTGAATCCTCCTATTAGAAGCAATAGTTCTTCAAGATTAAGCTCAAAGAGAGGCTCATGTTCATCATTAAGAGCAAAGAGAAATGGAAGCTTTCTTGGGAATAATAATAGTAGACCTCCTGTTCCTCCACATACATCAACTAGTGCAACTAGTTTTACAACTCAAACCCCTTTGTTTGCTTGATGGTTCTATATCAAAAGGATTTACTAAATGTATTTACTTCGTTGTTGTTACTGTTTCTTTTTTTAGAATGCTATGTGATACTTTTTGTAGTACTTGTTATATTTATTTTTTATGTTCTTTTATATGTGTTACTTGAGTCGGGTAGAGGCATACTTTTGTCCTCTCTCGATTTCATCATGTGAGACTTCATTAAGTATATTGTGTGTTCAAAGTTTTGATACATTAATTGAATCTTTTTATGGTATTTGAAATTGGTTTGGTTATCAAAAGATGACTAAATCTATTATTATTATTATTATTATAATTATGATGATGATGATTTTTTTCTATTAAAAAAAATAAAGGCGTGAAATTTGAGAGTTGGAAATAAATGGTATGGGTATGAGCTTCGTATTAAAAATGGTTGAAGTCATTAAAAATGTCAGAATATTAATATATATATGATTGAACTTCATTTAGGGGCATACACATGTTTGAATTGGTCTGGTTTGGATATTATAAAGACATAATACATAAATATGTCCTTTAACTTGATTTTAAATCATATTTATGCTCTTTAACTTTGGATGTGCACAGATATACACTTAAACTTATATCAAGTTGAACAAATAGACACATTTTTTGTCATATGTGGTATCCAACGTGTATTGTGGTCATGTAGAACTCATGTGTTTATTTATTTAAAAGTTGGATAGTTAAAATGTCTGTTTGTGCATTATGAATGTTGGAGGTCGAAGTTAAAATTTGAAGTCAAGTTTAGAGTTCAATACATGTATTATTGCCTATTTTAAGTATAAAACTTAATTTCTACTTCTATTTGTGTCGAATTCTTAAATTTCAAAATCATATCAAATAATAAAAAATGGATTTTGCAATTTTGCAATTTTGTTTTCACAAAGTTTTTAATATAGTTTTTAACTTTTTATCATATGAATATATAATTAACTTGTGCTTTAAATATTTATTTTATTCTTATTTAAGAAAAAATATGATATGAGCCACGATTCTAGCAAAATACTAGGATTTAAAAGTAGTGCTAAACACACTTTCTCTTCGTTTCCTTTTGAGTCCAACTTTTCCTTTAAGCTTCTTTTCACTTTCTATTAAAAAAATATAATAAATAATTTTGCATATCGAACTCCATTGATCATAATTCATAAATAAATCTGAAACATGAAAAATTTCATAAATTTGAGCATAAATATATACTAATAAAATTATAAGTACGTAAGTAAACAACTCTAATTAAATAATATAATAACAATTTATCAATTAAATAATTTATAATTATTAATAATAAATTTCAAAAATCTAAAATATCTCGATTTACACGTACACGCAAAGTGCATTTAGTGGAAATTGTGAGGTTGTTAGTTTAGGATATCATCAATACTTGCGCCATGACTAAAAAAAAGAAGAAATGTATTTTTGAATATTTGATGCTACTCTATTTAGGTGAACCAACTTATATGACAATTAGTTGTAAGCATTATGACATTTTTTTGTGATTTTTAAAAATAAACTTTAGTAACTATTTATAATAACAATGAAACACAACATAATGAATTTTGGATCAGAAATTTAAATTTATATAAAATTAAATAAGTAGATTTTCCTATTTTAGTGATCTAATACACATATAATATCATATAAGACGTGAACTGTCTTGTGTGATACTACGTAGGATTTATGTTTCTACTTATCCAACTTTATATAGGTTTGTACAGAGAAAAGACTCAAAATAGTCTCTCATCTTTACGTTAAGACTCAAAGTGATTCCTAAGTTTTCACATGGAGTTCTAATAATTCCTCATGTTTGTATTTTTGGTGCACTTTTGGTCCTAACTTAAAATTTTGCCTATTTTTTAACGTTAATTTTGTCCAGAATTTTATATAAGGAAGGTTCAATCGTCTTTTTATATATTTAGTAGAAATAAAAAAACTCTGTTTGGGAAAAGGTGATAAGAAAAATACTTTGTTCTATTTACTAGAAATATTACTGCAGCTAAATTAAGAACATCTTAACATATGACTTTGCAGGAAAAGAAAAAATTGTACTATTGCACGTGAAATTATCGTAATGAACCTCTCGACTTTACCTGCAATACGATTTCTACTAAACAAAACAAAGTCTTTTTCTTCTTAACATTCTTTCATATGAAGTTTTTATTTCTACTAATATAAAAAATGACGATTGCACACCCCATACATAGGTTATGAATAAAATCAATGCTAATATTGCAAACATAAGAGACTATTTGTACTCCATTTGAAAACTGAAGGATCACTTTAAGCTTTAACCTAAAGAAGATGGACTATTTTAATCCTTTTCTCGGTTTGTACACGTCGAAAGTTGAATGACATAAATATCAAAGTTACACGTTTATATATTTTACCTAAAAATAATGAACAACTAATATGAATTGGAGAATATAAAATATGAGATGGTACCACCAAAAATAAAAAAAAATGACAAAAATAACCCTGACCAAACACAATATCATGAAAAAACGGTTGGCTTTAGCTTCTTGTTAAAACTGTTATTATTCTTCATTCATTATATATGAAAACACTCATTTGCCGTTGCCTAACAACTGTTCGACGAATTGCCTCAAAGAAAAGAAAAAACGAAATTTGTGATCGAACGATTTGTTTATTAGAGGATTTTATGATTATGAGTGGATTTGATCAGTTACAGTGTTGTTACAATTTAAGCCGCATCATTGCTGGCCTTCTTCTCTTCATGCTTTATCATTCTTTCCAATTTCTTGCTTCCTATACACCCTTAACAACATTCTCCACACACCCTTTTCTATTCTTGATTGATTTCTTACGAACCATTGTTGAATCATGGAGCTCAAAGGGAATGATTCTGGTTAGTTTGTTAATTGTATCGAATTCTTGTTCATGTACTTTTCTCTTGATTATTATGGAAATACATCCTTGTTATGTATAATGTGTTATCAACCTTGAGTAAAGTGTTTATGATTTATATGCAAATATGGTGCAGATCAAACTTGTGATTGTAAAGTGGTGTTGAAACAAATGGTTGACAATGCGAGCTTCATTCAACTAGATGATTTAATTTATATTTAGACATTAGAATATCAACGAGATGGTTCCTTTTTCTAACGTGCATTTGCCTTTGGTGGTGATCTTGTTGTTTTCGAATCTTGGGTCTGCATCTGTCCATGAAAAGAATTGTTACTTATTAGTCCAATTTAGTTTCAAAGATGAGTCAAAATTGTTAAGTGCTACATAAATTGGGATGGATGGAGTAATGTGTTTGTGTTTTGGGAAATTACTCTATCCGTTTAACTGTGACTGATTACTGGGATTGCTATGATTTTACTGAAATAATAGATGAAAAGCGGTAAGGTTGTTAGCTTGGGTTATGTGTGTGGGCTTATATTTGTTTAACTCAGAGCTATGATTTTTATGATTGGGCAAAATGTGGATTGAATAAGCGAAGGATCCTTTCATAGTTCATTTACGTGCTCATATCATTTAATAATATGAATAATTGAGGGGAATCAAGTGATTTGTCTTTTTAGGAACAATACTCTCTTATATTATAAGCTTTCGATACCCCTAGAACATAGGTAATGTGGAAGGCAAACATTAGTAGTGTGAGCCCTGACGATGAAAAAATCTTGGTGTTTAAGGGGAGAGGAGTAGAATGGTGTGTTTATATTCTGAGTTTCAACTTATACCCAACTATGGTTGACCAGTTAACCAAACAGGGGACTTTGTCTGATATCAAAAAAATGTTATAAGCTTAGCACCTGTTCTACGAATTATTTGTTTACAAGTTGTGCCATTGGTTTTGACATGCTTTATTGGAAACATATTGCATCTATGAATTCTTGGAAATAACAGAAATATGTTATTCACACACACACACACATATATATTATGGCCATGAAACTATTGGTTAACTAGGCACTTTACTACCTTGCTTAGGGAGGCGACATGGTTCATCTCCGTCGGTCATTGTAATTGGTGGAGGTATCTCAGGGGTAGCTGCTGCATGTTTCCTTCACAATGCTTATTTCAAGGTGAGGTCACTCATGACTTTAAACCCCTTTCACATGTAGTGACTTTTATGCTATTTTTTTCTTGCTAATAAGCTGGTCTATTTTTATCCAGGTGCTCTTACTGGAGTCACGAGATAGACTTGGTGGTCGCATACACACTGACAACTCGTTTGGTTGTCCAGTTGATATGGGAGCTTCATGGTGAGTAACACTAACCTTTTCCTTTCTAATTCATCCAGAACTGGATGCTTATTCATGTTCTTCAAATTGCATCTCAGGCTCCATGGAGTGTGCAATGAAAATCCTTTAGCTCCATTGATACGTCGGCTGGGGCTCACACTGTATCGAACTAGTGGTGATGACTCAGTTCTGTATGACCATGATTTGGAAAGGTAAATTGGGTTTTTCACATTTAATTTCAAAATGATTTTATCATGTTTACTGGACATGCTTCCTTTTGTTAAAACACCCTGTCTCGCTCTCTATCTGTCTAAATGGAGGGGGTGGCTATCTTAGTTACACTTCAGATTTTTGGTTTCAGATTTCTAAGTCATGGTCTGTTTCCATTCTGATGTAGCCACCGAAAATTCGGGGCAAAAATCTGCTAGCTTGTTCTTAAGTTGTCTCAGTAGTTTTTCTGCAGGAAAGTATCTTGCAGTGTATTGTAATCTGATTCATAATGAAAAATAAAGCACACTTATAGTTCGTCAAGAATTGTTGCCTCTGTTCTTTTTGTTTTCTCAGTGCGCTCATATTGAAGCATGCTGTATCTGCTAGATTTTAGCTCATATTCTTTTTGTTTTGTGTAAATTAACTAGAGATGTTATTTCATCATTCAGGATCTTGCTTATGTTTTCTTTCTTTTTAAAGCTGCATGCTGTTTGACATGGATGGCCATCAAGTTCCTCATAAAATAGTTGCTGAAGTAGGAGATGTATTCAAGAAAATCCTCGATGAGGTTGGCTTTGCTCTGTATTTATTTAACACCAAGTGCCATACCTTTTGAGGTTTTATAAAGACGCAAGTGAATAATTATGTGTATTGGCAAATGCAGACTGAGAAAGTGAGAAATGAGAATAGTAATGACATATCGGTTCTTCAAGCAATATCTATTGTACTGGACAGGCATCCTGAGCTGAGGTATGCGAAAAAGTTCTTCTCTTATAACCAACTTATGTTTGTTTCTTTTAAATGTGTAATCTAGTTACATCCACTGATCTTACATGTTGCGGCAGGCAAGAAGGAGTCTCTCATGAAGTACTGCAGTGGTACATATGCAGAATGGAGGCATGGTTTTCTGCCGATGCAGACACGATCTCCTTGAAAACTTGGGATCAGGCAAGTTCTTTTACTTGTTATTCTAAGTTTTTTCTAAAAGAGTAATTTTATGTGCATCTCTTTAAAAAGTATGTGCATTTAAAAGATTTTATTACTATTCCCAATCCCCAAAGACAATATTCCTCATCCGAATGGCAAGGCTCTAACTGCCTGGTTCAGTAATGCTATAAGTAAGAAAACTATCAAGTATGTCAGAAGTTAAAGGCACAATTCGTGTTATTATAGCTATCATTTTCAGATATCTACATACTTCCAGATAGGAAATTTTGGCGTTCCATTTTACATTAGATGCTTTAAATTATCGCCATTAGGATATGTTTAATGAGTAGTTTCCTAAATATGTAATATTAATGTTGTTTACTTTGTGTGCAGGAGCAAGTTCTTACGGGTGGCCATGGACTAATGGTGCAGGGTTATCACCCGGTGATTGAGGCATTGTCAAAAGATATTGATATTCGTTTGAATCACAGGTATGTTTGGGGTTTTCTGTGAAATGTGAAGTTTGACATCTTGTTTGTTGTTTCTTTAGCTTGTTACGCTGTTGGCTTTTTCACTTTAGGATCTGAAAACTAATGCTGCACTTACGATAGACGGACCAACTTGTGGACTTCGATTGAATCTTCTTGTCACAAGATTTTCTATAGGAAAGTTAAGAAACAAAATGCAATTCATTTCCTCCACAGTGATTCCATTTTCTTTTTAAGTCACACCACTTCCAGGCATAGACATCTCTCCTCTCTCCTAATCCCCATGCCTGAAAAAGGGCAGGCCACTGAAATAATGGGAGAAAATGCCCCAGAAGGGTTTCATCTGCTGGAAATAATGCTTTCTTATTTGTATTTTACCTTCATTTCAATCACTTCATAATCTATGATGGATTACCTGTCTGCATCAGAGTTGAATTTTTTCCAAGTAATTTCTTATCTTGATTTACCTATACTTTAGCCTCCATGCTTGTCTGCAATTCTAATTTTCCATCGATCTGAATTACTAGAGTGAAGGCGATTACGGATGGGTATAACAAAGTGATGGTTACACTTGAGGATGGGAGGAATTTTGTTGCGGATGCTGCTATAATAACTGTACCTATTGGGGTCCTCAAAGCCAACTTAATTGAGTTCAAACCCGAATTGCCAGATTGGAAGCTTTCTGCAATAGCAGATCTTGGTGTGGGCAACGAAAACAAGATTGCATTACGATTTGATACTGTATTTTGGCCAAACGTTGAATTGTTAGGCATTGTTGCACCTACCTCTTATGCTTGTGGGTATTTTCTTAACCTCCACAAGGCAACAGGGCATCAAGTCCTTGTCTATATGGCTGCCGGAAGACTTGCTTATGACGTAGAGAAATTATCAGACAAAGAGGCGGCTAATTTTGTTATGCGTCAGCTGAAAAAAATGTTTCCTGATGCACCTGAACCTGTGAGTAATACCTGGTCCTACATAATTCTATTACAGTTATTACTGATGCATGCATTATTTAACTATGCTGCTTGGACTCACCCAATGTGTCGCAACACACATGTCGGATTCGCCACAAATGCACTACGACATCTTTAAAGAGTCTGATCAACATATATTGTTAGTAACTAATAGATTATTTGGAAGTGAAATAAGGAAAGCATGTGTAATAACCATTGAGCTGATAGCTATATATGTTGATACTATTTGCAGGTTCAGTATCTCGTATCACGCTGGGGAACAGATCCGGATTCCCTAGGATGCTATTCATATGATCTGGTTGGAAAGCCAACAGATATATATGATAAGCTTCGAGCACCTTTAGGTAATCTATTCTTTGGTGGCGAAGCTGTGTGTATGGATGACCATCAAGGGTCTGTGCACGGTGCATATTCAGCTGGAATCATAGCTGCTGAAGATTGCTGCCAGCATCTCATTAAGAGACTTGGAAGTGTTCAACTTGTTTCCTCCAGGGAAGAAATTCTCAAATCCATTGTTCCTCTCAAGATTTCCAGGATGTGATCGATCATCTTCCAACAAAATCATAACTAGGTTTAGTTTCCCTTTTTTTCCCCTCTGCTTAACAGGTAATGTGCTCCGATTCATCTTGAACGTTGTTTAGTTTCCCTTTTTTCCCCTTGCTTAACAAGTAATGTGCTCTGATTCATCGTCATTCGATTGAATTTCTGTAATGATATGAATGAAGTTGTAGCATCAGGCTGCCATTGTTGATTTCAATGAGAAGTATGTTTGTTTGTTTGGATTATTTCCTTGGAAGTCTTTTACTGTTACACAATTAATGTCTGTCCAATGCTGCTAATTTCTTTCAAAGTGTATATTTTACAGATTCATCTGAAGTAGTAACTTTAGTCCAGCTTATTATGTATTTTCATTAAGAAATTCATTGAACATGTTTTGGTAATTCTTTAATTTAATTTTTTCAATTGAGGAGATAGTTATGCATTTTTCACATTATTAAGCCATTAATCTATGAAGAAGTCAACGAAAGTAGTCGATCTTATGTAAACAAAATGTTTTTCTGTATCAGAAAATGAACTACTTTACTCAATTAGGACAAGGGGATTAATTTAATATTATATGTTAAAAATTGAGACAAAGAGAGAGGTGTTACTAAGGAGAAATCCAATTATAGAATAATCTTTGTTCATGGCTCCAAAGATATTGATTTTCTTGCACCCCAGGTTGCTATATCTCCTCCATACTATACTTTATAGCGTGTAGTGCGCAGAGCGAAAAATATTTTTTTGACAACAGCCTTATAACATCAGGTTCATTTTAATCTTTCGACGTGGAGTATAAACATGTGTACAAATTCACTAACATTACAATAATTAGTATGCACGTTGGAACCGGGGGAAGGGGATATGACTTTATTTTATCGAGTACATCTAAACTCAATAACGTTAAAAATATACGAGCTTACTATTAAAAACGTTAAAGGTTTTATATTATAATGGATTTTAAGAATGTTTTAATTTGTTCGTTGAAATTGTGAACAGGAAATGTTGAAAAAAATGGGGATATATTTAGTTCAAGTATTTATACTAAGTCCTCCATCTTAGTTATATGGGATAATGCACAAGTATTTATGTTCGAATTTTAGAGACACGCTTATACTATACAAAGGTCCTATTACCTTCTGAACTTATTTTATTAATAATTTTCTACCTTTTTTAGGCCTACGTGGCACTATCTTGCGGGACCAACCTTGGTTGACTTTATTTTTTCAAGCTAGTGTCACGTAGGCCAAAACGGGGTAGAAAATTACTTATAAAATAAGTTTAGGGAGTAATAGGACCTTAGTATAATATAAAATTATGTTTGATAAGTTTATGTATTTGTATTCCCTCATTTTATATTATAATGGATTTTAAGAATGTTTTAATTTGTTTGTTGAAATTGTGATTAGGAAATGTTGAAAATAATGGGGATATATTTAGTTCAATATGATAGAGCTGGATATGGGGAAAGTGACCCAAACCATAAAAGAACCCAAAGGAGTGAAGCATGTGATATTGAAGAATTGGCTGATCACTTACAATTACAATCAAAATTCTATATTATTAGTAACTCCATGGGATCTTACCAAAATTGGAGTTGCATCAAGCACATTTCCCAAAGGCAAGATCCACTATTTATTGGTCTTTAATTTGCTCGGTGAGATTTAGATTTTAAAATTTATAAATTTTTACTGATCAATTGGACTAATATATTAATAATAACTAGATTCATAATTAAATACTTATAATTTATTACATAGATACTAATAGTTTCATAGATCAACTGTTAGTATCTATGTATTAAAATTAAAACATAAAGATGTTGAGTAGATGGTTATAGTTCAGATAAGGAAAGATAACAACTGATAGTTGACCTAGTTAGTTTTGAGGTATGTTTTAATACATAGATGGTGATTAGTGATAGTTCAGATAGGAAAAGAGAAAAACTAATAGTTGAGAAGTGTACTTGACCATTAATTTTTGTACGAATCTTGTATTTGGTTTGAATCCCGTAATTATATTTAAGAGGTCCACTTAATAAGTGTATAGAAGGGGAGCCTTGGCGTCATTGATAAAGTTGTTATCATATCTCAGAATGTTGGGGTATTAAATCATGGAAACAACTTGTTGCAGAAATGCAGAGTAAGGTTGTGTATATTAGACCTTTGTGATGCGTTCCATTTCCAAAAATCTGCATATAGCAAGAGCTTAATACACCAAGATGGTTTTTTTTCTTCTTTTTACTTGATATGTATGTATAATTTATCAAAATCCTATATCTACCTTTGTTTAGTGTCAAATTTAAAGGGGTTGTCGATGTATTCCACTATTTTGTTTATTATGATTTTGATCTTGTAGTATTTATATATATAGTGTTTAATGTTTTGTATATGCTTATTCCTATATGCCTCAAATTGTCATTTAGTTTGTGACCTAAATTCATGTATAATCTTGTATTCGCTTAAAAATATCTCAATACCTCATGCTTTTTATATATTTTATGGATCATTATACAAAATTTTGGCCGGATTAATTGTTTAATTTTCTTAGTCAATATACAGGTTATACACATATTATACGTGAATCGTATACCTTAAACAACTATTTTAAGTTTAAGCAGTTGAGTGGATGGCTATTTATGTTTACCTTGGATTCAATATCATGAAGTTCATAACGGTGGACATGTATTGATTGGAGAAGTATCAATTAAATAAGGATACGTGATCAGTATTTGATGTCTTTAATATTGTACCAATAGCATGGACATGTAATTTATACATATTTTAAATAAGATTTCACATAATTATAGATCAGGAATGAAATTACTTATTCGTATTTGAAAGTCAGCTAACTTCAGACATGAGATTAACCAATAACGAAAAATCATAATTTGATTAAATTTATTTTTAAAAAAAAATTTAGTGATTTCAAAAATTAATTAGATCATATAAATAAGAAAGAGAAAATTAAACATCCTACACGGATCAATTTTAGATAATGTTTGTTGTAAAGTCATTTTAATTATGAGGAACTAATAAAATCATTCTAATTAATTCCCACATCGCTTGAAGAAAAGAAATATATGCAATTTATTAAGTTGAGAGTTTAAGGATTGCATGCCGAGTTCAGTAACGTGAACTTATAACCTGAGTGGGGGCTTTAAAGTGATGGAACATTGGATTAGTCCAAATGGTAGGGTTTAGGCCAATATTATATTGGACCGCCCTCTCCAAGCGAGGAGTTGGCCCATGTGACCTAGGCGAAGGCCTAGGTTTCATGGATTCTAGAGTGGAGGGGACTGCATCAGGCTGGCTTCACAGAGCAACGATTACCTCCCGCTCTTTGCAGTGGAAGGATTACGGACCGGTGCTGCCCAAGCCCATCAAATGCCAGATGGACTTGTCTAAATTGGACCATCGCTTTTTCTTCATTCTAGTCTTCAGAACGTGCGTTGCACGTTTATTTTAAACTATTTAATATAAATTTTATACTACAATCAATAATTTGTAAATAGTACATATATTGTTGGATTTGCTATATGTCATAACTTACAAAAATAAAATATACATAAAAAAGTAAACATCATGTAATTCATAAGCTAATGTTAGTAAATCTTTCGAATCGATACATATATTGAATTGTAAATGAGTATTTAAAAGTAAGAAAAGAGGGGGGATAAGAAGTACATGAAACAGATACTAATTTATGAGATAATGAAGTAATTATAAATGCATGCATATTCAGTCAACATATTTGTCAAATATTTCAAATTATCTATTTAAAACACAAATAATTTGACATATAATAAAATATCTAATATATCATTGAGACAATTTTAAATTTGATTTGGAAATAAGAAATATAGTATTGTACATGTTCTACACCAATAATTATATAAAGTCTAAATAAGTAACATCTATTTAATTATTTAAACATAAACTTCTTTATATAAATAGAGAACATATTTAACTTAAAATGAATAAGAAGAGAAACATTATAAAAGAACATTTAAAACAATTATGAAAATAACTTACAAATGGTCATAGCTATAATCACTTTACATAATATAGTACAAACATTCATTATTTTGTTATAATTCATATAACGTGATAAAGAAATATTATTTTCTTTTAAACATTCTTTATAATTAATCAATCAATTAATCATAATATCTTCGATCCGAATACAACAATAATGTTATTGCCCTTAACAATTGATGACAACTTTTCTTCATCAGTATATGACTATGATCAGAAAGGAAATTAAAAAGGAAAAAAGAGATGATATATCAAAAATGAAAAAATGGATCTTAATTTATAAGAGAGAATTGACATATTAACATACTTTAGTCAGAAGATCAGATGAGATTTATAAGTTAATTTTCATTTCTAGGTGACTTTAAATAGGAAAATTTTAGGTGAAGGGAGATGAAAGGAAAAAAATAAAAGAGACCTATGAGTTTCCTAATTAATTTTGTAACCTTTAGTCTTTACCTTTAATTCATTGAACAATATCATTAGAAGTCTTTTTGTCTTCTTGATAATAATTGTTTCTAACAATTTAATATTAATTAACCATCAACATAAATAAATTGTAACCGGAAGAATTTGATAAATTTGATATTGCTTAATGTGTAATCCTCCCTTGTAGTAATTAAAATTTACTATTTAATATTCAGTTAGCAATTTATTAGACGATTAATATTTATATATGATATAGGGACAAAATGTAATCTAATTTTTGCCTAATATTCCTTCCACGTTTAGTATATTATTATTATTTTTTATTATTATTATGATTATATGATATGATGGAGATTAAATTAAATATACATATATATAATAAATGATAAGTATTATTAAATTAGATATTTTAATTAGAAATTAATCTAAGGAAGTGCAAAAGTTATTAATATTTTTATTATTAAAATGAGACAATTTAATATTTAAATTAACTAATCAAATTTCAATTTAGTATAAGGTCAAAATGGTAATTCAAGTTTTCACTTTTAGAGCTTCCCACTTATAATAATATATAATTTTTGTTAAAAGTTATCCCACTTTTAAAGAAAGTTTAGTAATTTTTGGAATACAAAAATAGAATTGAATAATTCTTTACTCTTTTTATATTAATTAAACATAGGCTGATTTCAATCTTAATAATCGAAAAGTATAAATTGTCACATAAATTTAGATTGAAAAAATTATTGAAATATATATTTGATAATGTAAGCAAGACAATCATCACTAGTATTCCAATTAAAGATGTCCCCAAAAGTTACATGATTAATTAATTACTTTTTGGTAAAACACACACACACAAAAAAAAAACACAGCAGCAAAAAAAAAGTACAACAATACTATTTAAACACTTGATTTTTATAATAATAAACCCTTACGGTTCGGAAATATCTCATCTATCTTTAAGATAGAGATCCTCTTTAGTTTTCATTTTGTGAAATTACATTAAATGTGTTGTTGCTCTTATAAACGAGACAAAGCAAGAATTTGCTCATAATATCTTGGCTTTTCTTTGTTGACTTGACTTGTAATATTTTTGCTTTTTTGATGATTTGACTTCTCTGTGACAACAACAAATGTTTTAGCAATTGTTCTCAAATGATTTTTTTGCACTTTTCCTGTTCCAGTCTTGGGTAATTCTTCAACAAATTTCACCTTTTTTGGTACCATAAATCCTGGTAAATTTAATCTACAATGTCCAATAATATCCATTTCTTTAATTTGTGAGTTTTTAGTCAAAATCACAAATGCACATGGACTTTCACCCCATTTTGGATGTGGCATAGCCACAACAGATGCCTCTACAACATTTTTATGTTTCATTATAACATTTTCAACTTCAATACTACTAATATTTTCTCCACCAGAAATTATAACATCTTTACTCCTATCTTTAATTTCCAAATATCCATCTTGGTGAATTACACCAACATCACCGGTAAAAAACCAACCATCTTTAAAGACCTCGTAATTCGCTTTATCGTTCTTATAATACCCTTTCATAATACTGCTCCCACGCAAGCACACTTCTCCGATTGATTTTCCGTCACGTGGCATGCTAACCATGTTATCGATATTTTTCACGTCGACATCGGCTAGGGTTAGTATACTAACCCCTTGTCTCGATTTCAACTTAGCTTGATTTTCACTAGGTAATTCGTTCCATTTATCTTGCCATTCGCACAAGAGGGCCGGGCCGGTTGCCTCTGTGAGCCCGTAAGCATGGACCACGTGGAATCCGAGCTTCTCGATTTTCTCAAGAAGAGGTGCGGCCGGCGGTGCGCCGCCCGTGAGGATTTGGACACGTGTGGTTAAGGGTTTGGAGTACTCATGTGAGTTGGCTTCAAGTAAGATGTTGAAAACAATAGGTGCACAACACATGTGTGTAACATTATGTAACACAATGTTTGTGTACATTTCTTTGGCAGTTGTGTTTCTAATACAAATATTTGTACCACCACGTGCTGCTACACCCCATGTGAATGTCCATCCATTGCAATGAAACATTGGTAAAGACCATAAGTACACTGGCTCAGTACCCATTTCCCAACCTAATAATAGGCTCAAAGTACTCAAAAATGCCCCTCTATGACTATACACAACCCCCTTAGGCTCCGAAGTTGTACCTGTTGAAAACATAATTAAATAAATAAAAATATATATTCTTTTCGTCTCAACTCATGTGATGGTATTCGGTATTCCCCAAGGATAAAAGAACCACTTTTGAAACTTATGTTAGTTATATTTGTGGTCATAAATCATTAAGGGTAAAATAGGATATTTTAAGCTAAATTCTATGAAATATAAAAGTTGTCATTCTTTTTAGGATAGGCTAATAAATTGAGATTAGAGGGGGGTTTACCAATTTTATAAATAAATTAAATTTCTTAGATGAGATGATCAGACGTTTTCAACATTACCTGATGTATAATTCAAGCTGATAGGATCCCATTCATCGGTGATTTCTTCGGGGACGTAACTAGGATTTCCTTGGTGTACGAGTTGCTCGTACTCGAGCTCACCTAGTTGGATTCCGGTAGGGGAGTCGATGTCATCGATGACAACGACGAGGGGTATTCTTGTCATTTTGGATGTTGATAGTAGTTCAAGGGACTTTTTAGCAATTTCAAGGTACTCATAATCAACAAAAAATACTTTGGCTTCAGAGTGTTTAAGAATAATTGCAATATTCTTAGCATCTAGCCTTGTATTTATTGTATTCAATACAGCCCCTGCCATTGGCACAGCAAAATGCATCTCATATATTGCTGGAACATTTGGTGCCAACACTGAAACCTACAAAAAAGACACGTCGTTAATCTATCGTCAAATATAATAGCTCTTAGCTAACATGATATTTTTTTTATAATTAGTCTACGGTAAAAAGAATGACATTTTTTTATATTACAAGTAAATCTCTATAACAAGTATTTGTAACTAACTAATGTGACATAACATATTGTTAAACTACATATCGATATAGTGTTTGGTCTTTTACACATTTAACATATACATAACATAAATTCATCGCGTTTAAATTATAACTGATTGATATTTTGTACTTACAACGTCGTTCTTGACAATGTTAAGGGATCGAAGAGAGGAAGCAACGCGACAACAACGCTCGTAGGTTTGGCTCCATGTGAAACGTACATTGCCATAGATGATAGAGGTCCTATTGGCATAACATTTTGAGGCTCTTGTTAAGAAGGTAAGAGGAGTTAAAGACACATAATTTGCTCCACATTTTGGTAAATTATCCATAGGATTATTAAAGTAAAAAGTTGTGTTTTTTTTAAAAAGAAGTATAAGGTATTAAAATTTGTTGGAGAGGAAAATATAGTGAGGTAACTTAGAATTTGTATGCAAAAGATGCAAACTAAGATGGAAAATTTATAGTGAAAAAACTAAGTGTGGAGTCAAGACTAATGTGGCCCATTATGGGTCCCTAAATGGTTGTTTAGGTGGAAATCATAGTGAAGTTGCAATGACTATGTATAGTCATGTCGTAATTTACATGGCATAATTAAATTTTGAGATATAAATTTTTAAATTTTGATGGTAAATTATAATAGTTAACAATTTTAAATAGGTAAATGATATATATAAAAAGAGTAATAAAAAGAATTTAATTGATTCTCATAATAATGTGTCATGTAAAATAAAACGGAAGAAATAATAATAGTAAATTCCACCATATTTCACAGTTCAATTCCAACTAATAAGACCACTGACCCTTGAAAATGGAGAGTAATAATTAATTGAATTATTAATTATTAATTATTAATAACTTTTGGCTGCTTTGACCTTACCACTTCATCCTGGGCTGCCCTAACCAAACTCTCCCTCGCTGAATTAAATTTAAATTTTTAGCGGTAATTGAGTTAATATAATTGAATTTTATTGGAAAGAAAATTTAATATTATTTATATGAAGTGTTGGTTATAAATATTTATGTTTATTTGCTGCTAAATATAATATAGCGATGTTGCTAATAATTTATCGTAAAATTTTTTATTTGTTTGTGTACATAAATATTCAAACATAGGGCGTATGTAGGTCATTTCGGCTCGGTTTTGTATATTATTAATATGATTTATCGATTTTTTATTTTTAAATATGTTAAATTAATAAAACACTTTATCGATTTTTGATTTATTGAATTTGACTTTTAATTCGTTTTCGGTTTAATCAATAAGAAAATACTTATAATTCAAATATATGACTTCTCCAATAATTTGACGCGATAAGACAATAATGTAACTCTACAGATCGCTCGTCAAATGAAAACAATGACAACTAGGATGAAAACACTATAAAGTACAAGACAAAGAAAACTTAAGAGGAATGATGCTCTTACTTTTGATTTTGACATGTTGTATGGTATAAAATTGTGAATTCAAAATTATTATAAAGTATGAATTGAACCGTAAAAAAAATGATAGTAACTGGTAAAGTTCTGAAGTTAATATTTAAGATTTATATAGGGATAAAGTAGTACACTACTATCAATTTAATCAATTATCGATCTACCTAGTAGTCTAACATTAAATATCAAAATCAAATCGATAATCGAATAATTCTTTTTTACAAGCATACCTAGAGTCAAAATCTTTTCTTATACGTCTGTATTATCAACATCCAAACATTTTCTCGAAGAACATAAATTTTTTTTTCTTCATTTGGTAGTTAAGCCATATATA